TATCAGTATCTTGAACCTCTCTCAAATTCAGAATGAAGGGAGAAGTACCTTGACCAGGCTGGCCATCAAAGGCAGCAGATGAAGCAACCATAATGATAACACCACGCTCACCATCTTCGTTTAAAGGAGTGGAACGAGCCATGTGGGGAAGACACTGACGAATCAAATCAACAGTACCGCGGACGTTGACGTTCATTACGAAATCAAAGTCGGAGAGAGAGAAGGGATTGAGGTTGCGGTCGAGGATCTGAGGTTGGGGACGTTAGTGTGTTGGTAAACCTGCAATCCGGATAAAAGGGGACCACAATGGGGCAGTTTGAGGGATGGGAAGGAGAATTCGGCGAGGTTTGAAGAAGGGATATATCGAAAGGGGATGTTAAGGGAAAGTCTTAGGAATCTTCGCTGGAGGTTGCGTATGGTCGACGCAAGAGCATTTATGAGAAACTACCATAACGGGAAAAGTATAGAGCCAGTAACACTTTAAAGGCAATCTTATTTTAACAGAGTATTGTTTTCAAAAGAAAAGATTAAAAACATACCTTAGCAGGAGTTGCTACACCAGCAGCTGCAATAACTCCACCAACCTCCTTTCCGGTTTCCTTCACCCATTCCAAAGCACCTTTAACAGCATTGGTAATACTATCCGTTTCCAATACATCTGTTTGAAAGAACTTAATCTTTCCACCTCCTACTTCTTTAACCAACTCTTCAGCCAACTCTTCATTCATATCTAGAACAGCTGCATATCCTCCAGCTTGGCAGATATCAACGACACATGCTCGGCCTAAGCCTGAAGCTCTAGATGTCTTGTTAGCAATGTTTGATTCATCCATAGTTACATGATCTCACTTACCCGCCTGATACAATGAATGTTCTACCTTCAATCTTCATCTTGATAATATCTGAATAACATATACTAAAGAAGATTTGAAAACATTCACGAAACCATTCTTCTTCCCCATACCTCACTCATCACATGCCTCGGCTTATCAAATCCCTCTAATCTATATAAAGCCATTCCAAACTAGCCTAGCGTCGGGAAATGATTGGCTCAACACCGATGCGATAAGACTTGCGACAACTTTGATGTCACGTCCTATTGTAGTCTCTATTTACTGAAGGAAATCAAGAAATTCCAAATTGTAAAAATATTAACCAACTTCAAAAACTCTCTACCTTCTGTGCTTTGAACAACAAAAAATTGAACCCGTTATCGTACTCCCACCCATAGGCGAAGATGGTACGACCAAGGCGTTCATCCGCCGCAAGTGATGAGAGTGCCAGTACTACCAGAGATCAGGTTTGTTTTCCATACCTTCATTGCTAAACCAACGTGAAGATATATCAAGTTTGAGACAAAATGAAAGACATTTCATACCAATACTAATGGACTTTCAGGAATTAGGTAGCATGTACGATTATTTGGCTAAGATTATACTCTTAGGGCCAAGTGGAAGCGGCAAGTATGTTACATTTTCTATCTGTTCGTGATGAGTGGGATGTTTATGGTTGGATTGATATGAACATGATATTGATGTCGCACAGATCATGTCTATTACATCGCTTTGTCAAAAACGAATGGAGGATCTTGTCATCCCAAACTATCGGCGTGGAATTCGCAAGCAAGATTATAAGAGTGGGTAGTGGCTCTCGACGGAAGCGCATCAAACTCCAGGTATTCCCATTCCCCTCCTCTTCTTACTGTCCCCTCCAAGCTAAGAGCTAATCATACAAAAGCTATGGGATACAGCAGGAACAGAACGATTCCGCTCTGTATCACGCTCTTACTACCGTGGCGCCGCTGGCGCAGTTCTATGTTACGATATCACGAACCATAATTCCTTTACCGGACTCCCTACCTTTCTTAATGATGCGCGAGCACTTGCTTCTCCAAACCTTACACTATTGCTCGTGGGCAACAAGACGGATCTGGCGGATTCAAATGCAGATTTAATAGATACGTCTGTGCCGCCCGCAACACCATCTAGTATTAATAGCAAGAATTCCTCGTTTCCTTTTTCGGCGGGCGGATCTGTGAATTCGACTTCGGGATATGCGGGGATAGGATCACAATTAAAAGCAAGTGTGGCGCCGGATGGGAGAGATGTCAGCGCGGAAGAAGCATCTAGATGGGCTAGTTCTGCAAATATACCGGTTTCGGTTGAGGTTTCTGCGTTATCGGGTGATAATGTTGAGGAGGTTTTTAATAGATTGGCGAGGATGATATTGACGAAGATTGAGTTGGGAGAAATTGATCCCGATGATCCAATGAGTGGAATACAGTATGGAGATGGAGGGAGATGGGATACAAATGCTAGTGATGGAGCCAGTGTGAAGAGTGGAATGACGATTGAAGATGGGATTACGAGGAGGAGGAGGAAGGGGAAGAGGGGGCAGAATTGGGGACTTGGGGGAATGAGAGAGTGGGAGGAGGTTTTTACACTGACAGGTCAGAGAAGAAGAAGAGGTGGTTGTTGTTGATGAAGGGAAAGCGAAGAGATCTTATGGGATTGTATTGACCAAAAAGTTCTCTTGATGATTGGAGCCGAGCTCCTCTTGTGTTCTGCGTCGAATTAAGCCAGAGCTAGTGGATACTATTATTAATTTTAATGATAATGAATACCTGTTTTTTAGTCTATTCCTCAAGTGGCTGATTCTGATGCAGTCGTAAGTGGTAGTTGACCAGTGATTTGGGAAGGATAAGTATATGGTTTATCTTTCTCAGCCAGGCATCATACAGCAAGACGCTGCCCATATAAATGAGATGGGGAGATTGTATACAGAGTATACACGTCACATACGCAGAAATCTGGGAGTCTATTCTTCACTGGGGTTCCCTTCTAAATCTGCATTCATTTTCTTTCTTCGTTGCCATTTCCCCTCTAATCATCTCCAGATTTCTCTACCACGTCGTCTCGAGACTACCACTTCGTTCAGTTATCATTCCATCTATGCCTTAACCCTATTCGAATCATGAAAGTCTCGATCCCCATCTCTATCTTCCAGATACCCAAAGCCTAACAACAGCCTCTCTACGCTCCACCAACCATTGCACATCTTTCCTCGGCAGCTGAAAATAAAACAAACACGCTTCAAAACACAAATATTGGTTTCTAAACTATCAGAAAACTCGTCTGCAAACTGTGAAAACCCGCTAGAGTATATATATCCAATCCGCAACCCGAAACCCAACCCTCTCTCATAGTCTCAAATTTCTTGTTGCACATCTCTTTTTCGAAATCTAAAAATACTTCAAAAACGTAGCATATCTATCTAGACTCTAGGCAGGTATGCGAACTCCAAACCGCAACCCAATTCGACCCTCACGAGAAAGAAAGAAGAAAGAAAGCCTTACGCCCAAAGCCATCGATCCCCAGACTCAAAAATCAACCTTCTGCTACCTGCTAGACAGCAGCGAAATGGAGATTGGGCTCGAATGTTGCATATCTGTTTTTGCGATTCTAAAAATACTACATGTATATCTACATGTATGTATGTAGAATTTCCTGTCCTTGGGCGAAATCCTATAATGGGGCCCTGTTTTTTACCTCACCTGTAGATCAGCATTTTTTAGTCATCTCTTGGTTGATATCTCACTTGCTTTCTTCCTTGTGAGATTTAATATAAATAGATACGTACATACACACATACATACATACGTACATATATACATACATACATACGTACACATATACATACATACATACGTACATATATACATACATATATACATACATACATACATACATACATACGTATATACATACAAATATCACACACCTCCGTTCCCGATCTAAAAATAAGCGTAAGGATAAAAAATTGTAGTATTCGCCTTCCCCTCCTCCTTCTCCCAGTTACCTAGAATAAAATATAATTCTAGTTACCTAGCACCTAGCACTTACCTACCTACCTGGCTACCTGTAAATAAAAATGCAGTACACGGATGTAAATCTCAACAACCGTCTGGGCGTCCTAGACAGTTTTTTCTGCGGGTACATGGAGTACCTAGGTAGTAGGTATCTATGGTGCAACCGATCTCGCCTATTGAGCGGGGTGGATTAATGTGGTGCCTACTAAGTAGGTTGGGAGTTGTTGAAGGAAGCGAAAATGGGATGGATGGAGGGACGAGTGGCGCTTAAATGGTGGATACAGGTTTGTATTTTTGTTTGTGGGTTTTGTGTGTATTGTAAGCTTTGCGATGAGGTAGGTAGGTGGATGTGGAAGATGGGAATGTTTTAATAGTAATGATGGGGTTGTTTGATGGATGAGGGGAAAGGAGTAGGAGAGGGGGAAAATTCAGTTTACCGAGTGTGTGCTGGTTGCCCCTTTTTTGGCTTCTCGGTCTTGAATTCATTTGGTTGTTGATGAATACATTTTTTCGATTATAAGTTGTTTAGCTAGACTAACAATCATGGGTTTGCTTTATTTTGCAAGCTTTGTATTTGAATTGGATATTTATATTTATGTCAAATGTCAAATTCTTGCATTCCAAGACAATGTTTAATATCCACTTTATAGGGAATTGCACTTTCTCCGATTTCTTTTCCTAATGTTTCCAAATCTCATTATATACTTCTACTTGAAATTAACGATTGAGTATATCATAACATGAAGTTTCAGTACCTCTAGAGTCTTGGAACAACAAAGATTCGCTTAATTTTTTATTCCGTGGTTGAGATATTCAAATTTCTCACATCTCCAGTTGGTTCACTCCGCTTCACTCTAATTCACTTCACTCTCGCTCTTTAAAACATTCTATATCCAGGCAAATTCTTTTTTATTTCAATTTTCAATTTTCTTTTCCATCCCCGTTCTAGCCCTACCAGAAACCTCATCATTCTCTCTCTCTCTCTCTCCCTCTCAAAAAAAAAAAGACTCCTCATCAAAGAGTCCAGCTCGGATGCGTTCCCCTCCTCCCTCTCCACGATACCACCCCGAATCCCTATCTACCCTTTTCCCCTTCTTTCTTCTACACACCTCTAAGTATACTTAGCCCCCCAATGCCCCAACTGATACGTCATCTTCCCCATCAAGAAAAAGTAGCACTTAACACATCGATAGTGAGTATTGCAATGTTTACAGATTTTGGAAAAGCCAGTATCGCTTATGGAGGCGGTTTCGTTGGTTTCAGCGCAGGAACAGCAGACATAAGAGAATGTCATTTTTGCTTTGGTTTGCTTTGGGGATGGGTTGGGTTGGGATTGATGTGACTGAATGTGATTGGGTGATGGGTGTTTGGTGATGGAGATGCTGTGGGTGATGGGTGTGATGAGTATGATACGATCTGATGTGATGATTTGGTTTGGTGATAAATGAATGTAGGACTAGACGGTGATACTGATACTGATGAAGATAATAAATCCCAAACCCCCACGAACATCTCGTTCATTTATACTCCTACCAGAAGACATTTGTATAGTTATTCCGATTCGATTCGAAGTCTACATACAAACAGATATTTGAGGAACAATGGACTCAACAACGAATCCGCGGAGTCTAATTTTGGATTCTTTGAAGGAAAGAGAATATAATGTATCTGAGGGGAAAAGAGTAAAAGGAGGGAAAGAATAGAAATAGGATTCTCGAGTCAAAGTCTACACACAAAGAAATGTCGAATAATAATAACCTGGAGAACAATCAACTGGATATTTTGATCAGCAGAGTCTAACTTTAGATTCTTTGAAGGAAGGATAATATTTGAAGGGAAATAAGCGAGATGGGGAAGGGGGGGGGGGGCTTTGTTGTTGAGGTTTATATACATAACAAAGAGATGATGGGCGGTGAAGGAGGTTCTTTCTTTCGTTCTTTCAAATGGATTGGTTGATCTATCAAAAAGAGGTAGGAGGTAGATAGATGTAGATGTAGATGTAGATGTAGATGGAAGTATACATTTCTCTTTCTCTTTCTCGATAGCGAGGATAAACTAGTTTTCCCGATAGAGGTTATGAAATTGAAGTGAAAATTTGTGGAAACCAACCACAAGAGAAGAAGGAACCCCATAGATTTTTACCAACCGTTTAGCCTGGGATTTAGTATCATATAAATTTCAGATCAGAATGCTTCATATATTGAAATTCCATCGATTGATATCGTGAAGTTCACCAAACATCCATATATTAACTATCCACTTAATCCTCAATACCCTCAAACACATCATCATCCACTTCCCCACCACCGCCAACATTCTCCTGCTTTCGTCTCTTACTTCCTTGAATAGCTCCTTTCCTATTATTTTCCAATTTCCTCTCATAACCACTCTTCGTACTAATCTGCATCCTCGATTTCGATTTTCCTCCCTTATCTTTTCCATCCTTTGCATTACCCAAACCTCCTCGTCTAGCTTCAACACCATATTTCTTCAATTTTTTCTTTTCTTCCTTGCTAGGCGTAGGTAACGCATCTAACAACCATTTCTGCATACTAGCTTCACTTGCTGGTTTACCGGCTTGTTTTTCGGATGCTGCGATGATATTTGCGACGTTCTTAACATATGGAATATCCTCCTTGGTATAAAACGTTACTGCAATACCACCATCACGACCAGCTCGTCCAGTACGTCCTACACGATGGATATAAGCTGCTCCAGAATTTGGAACATCATAGTTGACTACACCGTTGATGCCTTTGAAATCGACACCTCGGGACAAAATGTCCGTGGTAATCAAGATCCAGATCTCACCGTTACGGAATCGTGTCATGACTTGATCTCTGACCGAGTCGGAAAGATCCGAATGTAGTACTGCAATTCTAGTAGAGCCACCTGCTTCAGCGGGGATATCATACAGAAGTTCAGCATGTAAAGCAATAGCTCTGGGTATCGTTTGTGTGAAGACGAGGAATGGAGGCCGTAAAGATTCTGTTCCATCTGCAGTTTTTGCCGTGGGTCGAAGCAATTGTCGAAGAGCAATAAGTTTACCAGGTTCTGTCGCAGCATAGATTAAGCGATGTGTGATATTAGGAATTGCAGAATCTTTAAGTCCGACAACAAGACGAACCAGATTTGAATGTTTCTCGAGGCCTAATTTTTCTTGTCTGGCTTGTATCGTGGCTGAGGCGAGAGTTTCGATATTTGAACCCATCGTTGCCGACCAAAGAGTAACTCGTAGATCAGGATTGATGCATGAATTCCAGATACCTAATGTCTGTTCTCTGAATAATGGATCTAGAAGAACATCTGCTTCATCGAAGACCAATGTACGAACAGTCGGTAGTGGAGCATGACTATCTGAAGATCCTAAGGATAAGGCATGAAGGAAGATCAAAGGTGTTGTAACCAATATATCAGTCTTTGTAAGTGGCTGACTAGCTGAAGCAGTTCCATCAACAGATTCGTCATCATCCTCATCATCGTCTGACTGGTCCTTTTCCTCGGTATTGGCACTCGGTATTATCTTCATCCCTTTCTTCATTCCCAAAATCTTAACTCCAGTTCCAATACTAAGCTTCTTTCCTTCATTAACAATTTGACTGGCGAGCTCCTTCGTAGGTGCTATTATAACAGCCTCCAAATCATGATTCTTATCAGAAGTTCTGCGTCTTTGTACTATCTCATTAATAACCGGTATTAAGAATGCCAACGTCTTTCCGCTTCCAGTAGGCGCTACGGCCAATAAATCCAGAGTACTCGACAATTCATCAGTGTCTACTGATGAACTACTCAACGCCACTGACGGCTTCAAAAGTAGCGGCAAACTTCCCATTTGAACTTCTGTGGGAATCTTATATCCTTGATCCTTCAAATTTTCTGATAGTCTGCCTGATATCTTGTATGTAGCTCGTAAATCTTCGAACGCCATCAATGGTTGTGGGTACAACTGCTTGATCTCTTCCTTCGTACTTTTAGCAGGCTTCGACTTCTTCGACTTCTTAATCTTCTTTTGCGGTTTTGCGCCAGGCAGAAGAGTGACCTTCAAACGATGCGATTTTAATATCTGCCGACATTCTCCCTCATCTAGAAGTGCCTCTGGTTCCGAGGATTGATTCGAAGATGCAGGTTTTGGCGCATCATCTGTGGAAGTAATTTTCTTGGATTTCTGTGCCGCAGGTTCAGATGAGAAGAAATTGAGATCCCCATCTTTTTGCTCCGTCGTATCAACCTCCTGAGACGGTCCTCCTCTCTTTCTCTTCTTGCCTCTCGATTCGGGAATCGGATCGTGGTACAATTGAGGATTTGCAGATGTTCCACTCGAAGGTAATTTCGAAGCAATGCCTCCTGCTTTTTGCGATCCATTTTGACCCGACTGTTTCGACGACCTGGAAAGTAACCTTAAAATATCCATTGCTGCAAAGTGTCGAAGTTTTCCAATATCGAGCGCTGTTCAAACTATCGCAAAGTTAGCTAGCTATATTTTCGCGCGGGATGAACATTTTATTTTTCGAATTCTGCCACTATGCGTCTCACCACCGCCTTCCTTTTCCATCCAATCAACAATGCCAAAGTGGATGGAACCGGGACTTCAAAATAAATTTACAACACAGCTCAGAGCTCTTCAATCGTACGCCAATCTTCACATCACGGTATATTAATTAAGCCGCTGGCAGAGGGAATATTTACTGATATCCTGCTCTAGCGATACAATAGCCATCATGCCAGAAACATCAATTTCCCCACCGGCCGTCACACGCCCAAGCAAACCCGTTTCGGAAGCTCTTTTGAACGAGAAGGTAAATAGCACATTATATCAAATCTGCACATACATTACCTATGAATTATTTGCATGAGAGATACACTGCTAACCCAATAATCATCTAGTGGGACCACTGTCTTTCCTCGATGCTCATACGATCCTCCGTCGGACTCGGATTTGGTGTTGTCGCCTCAGTCTTGATATTCAAGCGAAGAGCATGGCCTGCATTTGTTGGTGTTGGGTTCGGTGCTGGAAGAGCTTATGAGGAGTGCAACACCTCATTTAGAAGGGTGGGAAAGGATGGTATTAGAGTACAGAGACCTTGAGTGGATAATGGCTTTATTGGGGGGTGGGGGTGGTCTTGGAGTACATAGACGTGGATGGGAAGCTTGAACACTTTGGAGTGTGTATGATTATACGAAGACAGTACTTCAAATCATTCTGGGCTGGCTCACTCCGCCGTACTGTAGCACAAATGTTCAATTGGCTTGTGAAAATGGTCTCGCGTGATTATCCAAAGCATTCATTTTCTACATGTTCAGGGTTGACAATCGGTCCAAAATAATGTCTCATTGATTTTAATTCATTAGTTTATGCTTGGTTTTCCTGACCTTTCAATACTGCGTTCATCATGAAGCTATCCCACTAGTAATATGAAGCTTTAGGAGCCAGACAAAGGCCATGCAGAACTTGGTTGTTTACTCCCTTCATCTCGTGATCCCGAGGACAACAAGCTACCCACAAGCGTTAATTGTTAAGTTACTGACTATCAAAGTTCTGACGCCTGGCTTTTCTTCATCGCTAATTCATCTCTCCCCGGTGAATAATCGTATCGCAACACTTATCAAATTAATACAAACATGTATATTCCAAGTTAGAACTCCATCATAGTTGGCTACCAGCTCGATTCGTCTTTCTCAAATAGCGCTCCTCCTTCGACCCCCAAGGCTTGGAGATCTCTTGCAGCCGTCTCCCAACACAGCACATGCACTTCCACTCGATACACTCTGATGTCTGGATAAATCCGCTATTTCTCCCGTCCAGGCATGTTCTAACTTGACATCTGTTTTTAATGGAGAAGGATGAGACCATTTCACTGCCTGCCCGAATTTTCTGCTCCCATTCTCTTCACTCGAATAAGTTCTTCCATCAAGCTTAGCCATAAGAATGTCTCGATTCGTGTTATCTTCCAAGCCATATTTGGCGGCCCGTAATCTATGGATGTACCAGTTCACAACCATGTAGATTCCGCAGGAGAGCCAGAGAAGTAAGGCGACAATGCAGAGGATGAGTAATAGGAGGACCGGAGGATCGATTCTTAACTTTTGAAGATTGGGATGCATTGTATGTGGTCGACTTAGTACATTAGGGGCGGGTTTAGAGGGTGGCGGAGAGCGGTATGCAACGATTTGTTTATGGCGACGAACATTGTATGGACGCTGTTGTTGTTGCTGTTGTTTTTGGACGTAAGACATTTGAAGGACTTGCGTAGCTATGAATGACTGGGTGGTAAGTGTTGTTTAGGATATTACTCCAACTGGCTTAGGAAGTGACAATGTATCTCCTAAAACGAAACAATCTGGGAAATGAAATGATAGACTTAGGTTAAGAAATGAAAATGCAAATAGCACTGAGGATATTTAGCATGCTTGCCTTGAGGGAGTGTACATGAAGGAAACATTGTTTGGAGGGCAAACATAGATTGTGGGTTGGTCTTTCCAATTTTGATGATTTCGGAGGCTTTGCTTGTCAAATAAGGTACAGTGTAGACTATTCCAAGCAAGACCGTGTTACTCAGACGATGACCAACGCTGGTTGACTGCATTTCTTGTGATCGAATAGTTGATAAAATTCTCCGGACTAGCATACAGAAGAATCGGTTCGAGTTCCGTAAACCTACCCTCATAGATAGCTAAAGTCCCCTCCCCGAACTTTTGTCATATGGAGTATGGCTCAAGGCAGCATACGACTCAAATTTGGTAAGAACAAATGACTACTGGGTAGTCAGCAACTCTGCTTAGGTAAGAATGATACCTAGGGATATATTTCGCAAAGAAGAACGATTAAAGTTATCCGTTATCGGTTTGAGTGCTTAGTATGAGGATTCGGGGTCTTCGGGTAAGCAAAGCAGATGAGAAACATTGTTTGGGAAGACAACACGATTGCAATACTATCTATCATCAGCAACTTCGCGTGATTCACATTAGGTCAGATAGAATGACAGTGGAACATAAACGAAGGTAGTAAGGACAGCCTTTCAGCAACCTGTTACACCATCTGAGGCTTGTCAACACTCTGCGTTTCTGAGTAGGGATGTCATATAAAGAAGCATCCCAATCAATACAGGGCTGAGTAAAGGAAGTATGCTTAGCTGTCTTGTAAATACAAAACTTGATTCAGCTTGAATATGAAATGTGATCCAGCTTGTACCACCACAAGCATCAACAAACAGGAAGCATGAGAATCCTGTAAAATCTATTTTCGAAGATTCTGGATCGCAATTTCAATCCCTATCCAAATCCCGTTCCCATTCCAAAGGTTTCGACATCTGAGTCGGGTTACCAAGATTGAAAAGTTGGTCAAGTCTTAAGGAGAAAACATCTCGATTGTGATTCGTGATGAGCGCGTGATCATAAGCTTTGGAAACTTTAATATTGCCCGCCTCTTGGTCATGTTTAGGCTATCGAGCGTACCAATATCTGGCCAACGACTAGGTTCACATATCGCCCATAACTCAAAGAGGGGATGGGATAAGTATCACCAGGTATAGTAACCATAAGCTTACATAAAGCCTAGCATCGCATAATCGTACCTTTCAGCGATGATCTTCTTCATTAGAAAGTTTCTTGCCCTAGGTAAGGTCAAGGCTATACGCAATGGAATGATAAATATCCTGGTTCTTCTAATGGCAGGACGTAAATGTCAATAATTATCACCAAGAACCGATCCCATCCATCTGACGAGGAATTTTCAAAGCTTCTGGAAGGAAATTGGAAGGAATTTCCAGCAGATTAACCCCTTTTTGGCGGCTATCGTCGACCCACTTACTGCATGGCGTACATGGATATTGAGGACGGCGGTAAGGTTCAAGCATTTCGTTTTGAAATGATGTGAAAGAGATGTATCCAATTATTACGATAGTTTCAAGAAGTCCTTTTTACCTAAGCAGTATTCAATTGATTCGGTTGATGAATTTGGAGACTCGTCAAATGTTCAAGACATACGGAGTAAGATAAGAATCATGAGATGAAAAGCGAGCCCCAGTTAATTGTAGGTAGATCAGGACATATGTAATCTTGAATCCACCATCGCACCATGTAATAACGATTTTTGAATCAATTGAGTAGTCTGTGGGGTGTCATGGGTGTCGAAATGGCTGGTCTGGCTGGCCTGGCTGGTGGTTGTTGTTGAAGAATTCGGACTTGATGTGTTTCATCCATCTTATGCAAAAAGAAAGGTTTGAGCGGCGGTAGAAGCGGGACAGTTCTCTCGGGAAAACAGGAATCGAGAGCCTCGGAACATTTGGATTGACATGCTTTCATCCAAAGTTGTATTGTGATCATCGGATAGTAGTTGTTGCAGTTGAAATATACTCCGCAGTTGAAATATACCCCGTGCAATACGAAAGATATCATGTTCTGCTGTGACTATCAATATCAACCAAGGTACGCTGGCCCGCTGGCAGACCTGGAATTGTGATGTGAATCCACGAGCACTCAAAGGGTTCCATCAAAGCTTTCCACATCGGATGGTTTGAGAATAATTCAATCCATTTTGATATATTTTATATATTTCATAGAGTTTCATTGGTCCAAAGTAGAATATGTGGCGTTTTATGAAGCCCCTTCTTTCTCATGCAGGCAATTCGTATCTGCCCCAACATTTACCAGATAATGTAATGTAGTGTGTAGGTAGTATGTACGTACTCAGGTGCTCCAGTACACTCGCATGAACAGTTCCCATTCCTTAAGGCTGATGGGGAAAGATGATGCAAAGAAGAGGCGGGAATGGATGAATTGTGTAATGTGTGATGTGTGATGTCTGATGTGTATTGTGTATGGAGTACGAGCAATCTGTGACCTGGAACTAATTGACCTTTTTCTTTTGAGAATATATAATGGTACCATCACTTGATTACATAACTGCCTCCTCCTTTCTCCTACGTCCTTCTCAAGAACGAGTACCGAGGCTTTGGTATAGTTGAAGGATTTAAAGATGGCACCGATGAGTCTTTTTCTTCAAGAGAGTCAAAAGAAGTGATGGTTCTCCTGAGACATTAGATATCATTGGCTATTGGCTACACGTATTTGACTTGAATTTTTGCTTCTTCTTTCTCTCTTTCTTTCTTCCTTTCTTTCTTTCTTCTTCAATTGACGCTATAACCAAGTCATCCTTCTTCCCATGCTTCCATTAATCTTAAAGTACGGAGCTCCCTCTCTGATACGTCGATGAATCCTGGTTTTCATCTGCAGAATGGAATTAACCCCTGGTTCATTCCTTGTGGACGGTATTGTTTTATCCCAGTTGCTTTGCCATCGGTAGGTAGTCTATGGAGCAAGTCAGATTCTAATAACAGACAGACATGCAGACTGCTGCAGACTGCAGTTAAAATCTTCCGAGCCCTTTGTTAGCCTTCCTTTAACGTGCAGCACTCAATTTATAGAATATGAATCACTAAAGAAAGCCTACACCCATCCAACTGGTAACACTAGGTAATGATGTTGGTATACTCTCCAAATGATCGAGATGACAAACTTTATGAATGGCTGTTCTCACAGCTTGATACTGGATTAAATCTTCATATCTTCTGACTAATAAGCCTTGAGCTCACCAAAGTTCCTTTCACTAGACAATATAGAGTTCCAACAGTATGCTTGCTGCTTCAAACCTTCAAAACGAGTTCTATCAATTTAGATGATGCAAACTTGTAACGTTGATATCAAAATACAGTTGATACGATGGATGAATGCTGGACGATACCCAACCTGCGGAGTATATCTACTTAGCTATAAACTCCTCACAATCTCCTCCGTGGGTATGGAGACATCCACAGCGGACTTCTTCCTTATTTTATAGACACATCGACATACCGAGGAAGCATATATCCAACTAATCATCAAAAGGCAGACAAACCTAATGAGTAACGGCAGCCAGGCAGAGTACACGTCCCCGTTATGTCAAGACATTCACTAGTCAATTAGATCAGATTCATTAACCATTAACATCAACCAAGCTTCATTCTTTTTTTGATAAACCTTTCACTGGCTGCAGATTGCCGTCATTGATTGAGATGGACAGTCTACTGATGAAAAATGACACTGATCATTGAGCTTTTGAGCTTTTGAGTTTTTGAGCTTTACTATCACGTTGGAGGGGAAAGTATGTAATGTGTGGTAGGTAGGCAGTACGCAGGTCATAAAGGAAGATTCTTATCTCGATATTCACTTCATCATCTGCCGACCACCTGCCTGCCTAGTTTACCATGGCAAATTACATTCATTATCATTGTTCATATCAAATCTCGAGGTATCCATATGTGCTAGCTACTGTGTATTATACACCGTGCTATATACTTGTTCACTTTCTTACTCATCTAGAGACCTGTGACATGAGGCCTTCGTACCTACCTGCCTTCTTCACAAAATAATGCTCGAGCAACAAATAACAAAATAATAATACAACCCTGATCGCACTCCACTTATTAATATCCACTCTCATACATTCCCCCTCCCAGAATCCAAATTGGGAAAGACATTAGCGCAAAGCCAGCCGAGAATTTGCTCCGTAGCCCTTTCACCCCTTCCCTATTTTGATTACCATTGATGATTCTTTCCCGACTACTAGTGACTAGCAATTATAACTAGGGACTAGGTAGTATAAACTTACCCAAGTCGAATACTAAATAATCCCAGAACAAGAGGGAAATCAAATCAAAAGACTCTTTCTCTGTTCGTTCGTTCATTCAACCATCGATTCATCCAACCAGTTCCTTTCCGACAAACCACCTCCCTACCTAACCCATCCATTTACCAAAGATCAACTTTGGTTCACATAATTGTTTTTCATTCCATCCGATTCAAACTTGAAGGAGATTTCTGTCCCATCCATTTGGTTGTCCAAGAACCTCCTCGACTTTACTTTCCTAGGGATTAAGGATTGAAAAGAGTGTATTGTTAATACTGGTAAGCAATTGAGTCTGACTTTCTTTGTTTCCTTTTGGATTGCACCATTCCTCATCGCATCGCAATCGAAAGAGAATAAATAGTAGCAAATCACATTGCACCCATTCACCCTCACTACACAAATTGTCTCGTCGGGAAGACCGACCGACTGCGACACACACATATCCTGATAATCACTTACGACTCGATCCCTTTTACACCATTTGGAATACCAACTATATCAATCTCGGAAAGAAGCATTGCATCTTGCATTGCATTTGAACTCCCCTCCCCTATTCTCCAACCCGACCGAGTTCAATTCAACTTCAATCCAGCACCTCGTTGCTGATTGTCGCCTTTGCTTACCATTAGCAATATCTCAATCATTCAGCCGCAGTTTATTCATTGTCTGATTCCCGCTAATCATTTACCTTTCACAGACCGCACTCAATCCTGCGGCCGGTTCTGCGACGATTTTACACTCACCTTACGATCTTTTTTTTTTACGACTTTTAATAATTAAATACCACAATAATCTATCACGATGGGTTGCGGTATGAGCACTGAGGAGAAGGAGGGAAAGGCCAGGAATGAGGAGATTGAGAACCAACTTAAGAGGGACAAAATGTTGCAGCGAAATGAGATCAAGATGCTTCTCCTTGGTAAGTAACATTGTCCTTGATCACACTTCGTCTATGATCAGTTAATTAGTCTAACACTCTCGTAGGAGCTGGTGAATCCGGAAAGTCTACTATCTTGAAACAGATGAAACTTATTCATGAAGGAGGTTATTCGCGCGACGAGCGAGAATCATTCAAGGAAATTATTTTCAGCAACACAGTCCAATCAATGCGCGTTATCCTCGAAGCCATGGAGTCCCTGGAATTACCTCTCGATGATCAAAGAGCAGAATACCATGTTCAAACCATCTTCATGCAGCCACAACAAATTGAAGGAGACAATTTACCACCCGAGGTCGGAAGTGCTATTGCTGCTTTATGGAAGGACGCTGGTGTCCAAGATTGTTTCAAGCGATCCAGAGAGTACCAATTGAACGACTCTGCTAGATAGTAAGTATTTAATTGTGGATACATTTCGGATACCTGTCGAAATTCCTGGTGAACAAAGCTGATCCTAACACTCTTTTTCTAGCTATTTTGATAACATCGAAAGAATCGCTCAACATGATTACATGCCAAACGATCAAGATGTCCTTCGCTCTCGTGTCAAGACCACGGGTATCACCGAAACCACCTTCATCATTGGAGACCTCACCTACCGCATGTTCGATGTTGGAGGACAACGTTCCGAGCGAAAGAAGTGGATCCATTGCTTTGAGAATGTCACCACAATCCTCTTCTTGGTCGCTATCTCCGAGTACGATCAATTGCTTTTCGAAGATGAAACTGTCAACCGTATGCAAGAAGCGCTTACACTTTTCGACTCGATTTGCAATTCGAGATGGTTCATTAAGACTTCAATCATCTTGTTCTTAAACAAGATTGATAGATTCAAGGAGAAGCTTCCCGTCAGTCCTATGAAGAACTACTTCCCAGACTATGAAGGTGGAGATGATTACGCTCTCGCATGTGACTACATCCTGAACAGATTCGTCAGTCTCAACCAGCACGAGACCAAACAAATCTACACACATTTCACTTGCGCTACCGACACTACGCAAATTAGATTCGTCATGGCGGCTGTTAATGGTAAGCTTCATAACTCTCAAGTGCTTTGTACCGTCTCTAACTTATTCTAGACATCATCATACAAGAAAACCTCCGCTTGTGTGGCCTGATATAATCATGGAATACCCAACTGCAGTCGAACAACATCGACTACAGAAAATCTCCTTAATTCAGCATGGCGTTAATTACAAAACCGGGGTCTTATTTTTCCAATACCAACATCTTCTTGCACAGTCACTTTCGGTTTTGCAACCTTTTTTTGCTATAGAACCATTGTTTTTCTTCGAAGGGGTGTCGAGGGTACGGTAGTATCGGAGCACTTTATGGGTTATTCTACCTGACCTCCGCTTCGATGTGCCATCTATTATATCCCTTCTACGTTTTAGGGGGTAGCATCAACCGAGACTATTTTCTCTTATTACTTAAGTTTTGTTTTAAATCCTGTTTGTCATATTAATAGCGACGACGTAACACCGTTCGGGATGTGGTTGGTTTGATGCCAGCAACTGATGATGTCGCACGGTTTGCGGTTTGCCGTGTTCTCTTTTTTTGATGAGGGTGGGGAGTTGTGAAGTAAGTCGAGAGTGAGATGAATAAGATGAAGCTTTTAGCTGGTTAGAAGGTTGCAGGTGTACGAACACGAAGATGGGTGATTGTTGGATGGCTCGTTGGGCTTAAAATGATGGTAGTGGTGGATCTCTAGGCTGATTGGTTGGCCGAATCGAAGCAACCGCTTATTCACGTTAGGCATTGATACCATAGTCAATTAATTAAAAAGATTCACATTGATCGACCTTTGTACTTGTGTTTGCTTTTTGTGATCGTTAATGTGCATTTCGAGTTGGGAAATGATAGGCTAAGACATTTATGACCAGCTATGGTAAAGTTTTGTAACTTAGGCAACCTCGTGGCAACTAAAACCTGTAATAAATAACACATGATTGTATCCTTTTCAACACTACATTGCGATAATTGTAACACTATATTTGAACCTCGCACATTGATTATTGTCTATCCACTTATATTTGATCTCTAATTGCACAAGCAACGTGATAAAGATGATGTTTTCATCGCGCAAAAGATCCAACGTTGGGATCGTGGAAAGATGCAGGTGGCTGGTGCTGGGGTACTTGGTTATGGGGATGGGGGTGGAAGGTGTTTGGGGGAAAATCACGTTGGAGAGTGTGAGGGGGATTACGGGGGTTACGAGGGAGGGGAGGGAGAGGGTGGGATGGGGTGAGGGAGGTGGTGGTGGTGGTGTTGGGAATGGAAAGGGGGTGGAGATGAGGATTGGGATGGGGGTTGATGGGGGAGGAGAGACGGGGAGGGATGGAGAGAGGGAGGACAGGTGATTATGGGGACTGGGAATGCGGGGGGAGATCGAGATGAGATTGAGAATGTGAGTTTGCTTTCTTGTCTAGATTCTTTGATTCTGTAGCTTTGGGGATAGAGGGCTGGTGCTGAGGGTTATCGATGGTGGATGATATCGTTGTGATTATTGGAAAACCGGGGGGAGAAAGAGAAAGGGGTTGAGTTGCTGAGATACGATGAACCGGGCGATGAAAGTGATTGAAAGAAGACAACGCGATATGGTGATCAAAGAAGGCAAATACACTAATACTGACTAACCCTTCGTTTCTCATAGATGGTAACAGCAGCGCTGCATATGCTCTGCTCGGATCTATTGATTGAGTTGGAGAAACCGCTTTTAGTGTCTTCTTCTTCTTCCTTCTCCTCTACATCTGTATCTCTCGAGGATACAAAGGTATGTTATCCTCCCACGTCCATACGACAAAAGAACTCAGCTGATAGGGAACAGGGAGGAGTGAATTGTACTCAGGTGAAAACAGATTTTGATGATTTATTGAGGGAAACAACGTGGTTTTTGTATCAGGTGCAGGAACGTCAGATGGTGTGGAGGTGGGCGAGGGGGAGCGCCGTTCAGGAGGGGGTGGTGTGGTTGCAGGGGTTGTGGGCTAGTAGGAGGAGTGTGAGTTGTGTTTCTTCTTCTTCTTTGGGACTGCTTTGAGGCGGAGAAATGGGATTCAAAACTGACGATGACAGAACTCACAAGATAGAAGTTTTATTGAACAGCAATTGGAGTTGTATAAGAGTACGGAATGTTTTGAGAAGGTGAATGATGAGGTTTTGAGGAAGGATATTGAGATTGTGGAGTATTTGAATGATTTGATTGAGATGTTCCCTTGATGGGGAAGGGGATTAGAGGTGGAGGTGGAGGCAGAGGACAGGCAAGAGATGGATGATGACCGGGTGATTAGGTTTGGTATGATGGGATAGAAGCATGCGGAGAGTACATTTATTGAAAGGGGATGCAAGATTGTTTAACAGGAGAATGACTCGGAAAGGGGATGAGGGGTCAATGGAGGAGAGAATTGATAACGGCGAAATCGACAATACAAACGAGCATGGAGGATACATTATTTCGGATTGGCAATAGACTGAAGTGTGTGATTTTTTTTTATGAGTAGTGCATATATCATTCAGCAATAGACAGGAGTGCAATAGAGGATCAGCATTGGGACAGAATGACACTTTCTTACATTTTGTTTTCATTTCCCCATATGTACAGCAGTTATACTGTTTGAAATTATGTCCTGAACTAGATGAACCCGAAGAATACCCCCCAGAGAGTTTGATGCATTGTTGTATATACTTTATATATACTCTCTATCGACGCTCCCTTCCACAGTCCCGCCTAATACAGACGCGACGAGAACAAGCTGATCATGAGGTATACATACTCTTGCTCTCTATCTTGATTCTTGGAAACTCCTCTAAACTCTAATGCTCACCAATACGATGCCTTATATTCGTGACTTCATGTGATATATCCAAGATACACTAACTGGGCACACAGTCAATCCCAACTCACCAGTCAAAAAACCACTACCGGTAACCTCGTACATTCGCACCAATGGCCCCAATGATCACCTATAAAGTTTCCCCTCAATCTATCCCAAATCCCCAAATCCTCACATCTCACAGATCCAAGCAACCTCCACTACTTAGGTACGAAATATCTATTCCCACAAGCACCATCCCCATCCAACACGCATCACACAAAACCAGCCAATCCATACCACACCCCATCCCGATTCTAGAACCTCCCCAAAGTACCCATCAATATATATCCGAGACTCTGATTCGACTCGGGAATCCACATTGAACATACTAAGGATCAGATGTAATGCGTAAGGTGGACAATGGGGTTTTGTTGCACGTCTGAATTTTTGCATGTTCGCCGACCTTGGGTTTTCAGGCCGGATTGGGATGGGCTGGTGAGGTGGCCGAGCTTGAGGCGCTTTTGAGCTGTTACATCTGTGTGAAAGGACCTCTAGGTATGTAAGCGAACTTAATTGGTGGCCGGATTTGAAGACTTTGAAAAGTCTTTACGATTTGATTAACTCTTTTTGAGATGGTGTGAAATTTGTTCTGTTCGAGGATTCAAGTTGAATAGAGGCTGAATTTCTGTTTCATCTTTTTTAATTTGTTGGTTTTGTTTGTGGTTGTTTTGTGGTTTCAATTAATCAATGGAATTGAAGTACTCAAATCTGGCCACTTATTTCGCTGCCGTAGAAGGTAGGGTAGGGTATGGGGAGCTCACCGGGAGCTCATCGGTAAGGTTAAGGTTTTCTTAAACTTAATAAACTTGGTCAAAGCTCGCCGGGACCTTTCAGGTCAGCGAGGCGAGTTCTTGATTTTCACCAGCCACAGTTTTGTTTGGAAGCGGAATTCGCAGGGGGTAAAGCCACAATGGTAGTGGAATGAATCTACCAAGGATGTGGAATGATTGGCATCATTGAAATATATTTGATGATATAATGTGATGAAGGACACACAACGTTCATGATTTGTTAATTTAATTTTTGATCTTTGCAGCGAGGAAACATGGCAAGACTTAATGCAGTACCTGTTCCGGCGAGGGATCCGACAGCTACGAATTTAGAGCGGATGTTAGTGAGATTACAGAAAATAATCTTGGGTCCAGATACGTCTGCCACTTCGCAAAGCTATGCTGAGTGGGTGAAGATGGGCGCGGTAAGATTTTTTGACTTTTCCTTGTGAGAAAGGATGAGGCTGATTGTGCAATGCTATAGAATCTGGAATATGCGCGGGGTTTACTGGTACATGTCGAGCAGGATGCGCAGAATATCAAAGTGTTATCGAGAAAACAGGAGGTACAGGCAGATTTGGTGCGCAAAAGACAATTGATACAGAGACTTGGCGAGAGATTGGAGGAGTTACGCGAGGTGTGTATATTCTTTGATCTGTGGAGAGTTGGAGTATGTGCTAAGAGTTTAATTACAGCTTGCAAGTTATGAGGAAGAAGGCGAGGATTCTTCTGAGGGAGAAGATTTGCTGGGAATCGCGCAAGATACTCCTTCGGAAACGACTGATGAAATGATGAATATGAGTGAAGAACGATCAACACCTTCTCCTACCGATTATACATCTTCTCCCATCGTACAAACGGAGTTGGATTCTGCGCCAGCACAAATTCAATCTCAAATCTCTCAGACTCCCGAGCCATCTACTCTCCGCTCTCGAAATCCCCGCGCTGAACTTTTCGAGAAATCTTCCAGTCAAGCTTACACAACATCCACATCCACATCTACCTCTACCTACCGACCAGCCCCTACTCCCTCAAGCACCACCACCGCCACCACCGAAACACTCCTCACGCACCACCGCACCGAACAAGAAGATCTCACCAATTCTCTCCTCTCCATGGCGCAGGAACTCCGCGCTCGCTCACAAACCTTCGCCAGTACCCTCGCAAGCGATTCTTCGGTGCTCGATTCTGCAATCGCGGGATCAATAAGAATGAGCTTGGATTGGAAGCGGCGTCGAAGAGAATGGGATATTTGAGGAGTATGACGGAGGGGAAGGGATGGTGGGGTCGCATGATGATGTATGCGTGGATCGCGGGCTGGCGGTCCTGGCTGTGTTGGTGGTGTTTGTTATGCCGAAGTTGAGGTTTTGAGTTGGGGATGGGAGGAAAGAATACAGAGGGGGTGGAGAAGGGAGGGGGTTATGAAGAAGGTCATTTGAGGAGAGTTGAGGGAGTCAGAAGAAAATGGGATGGCGTTTTGAGCAAAATAGGTATTTAATGAAAGGGGGGAATTTTGCGGTGTTCGAGGTGCTTGGGAAATACCATAAATAGTAGTAGGTTTTCTTCTATCTTGTTATATTGATTCTAGCATGTTTGGACGGGTGCTAAACGGAGCTATCTTATGATATGATGTTTTTTTATTTTCATGTTACAAAAGTGGAAAAGGGGAGGAAGAGAGATGATGTATTGTATTTGTTGACTTGGCGAGTAGCAGTATGAGATGTGCGGGATTTTTCGTATATCATGTATCATTATATCACATCACGTCGTTTTGCATCGTATGGCAAGTTTGATTTAGTAAAGATGAAGATGAAGATGGAGGAGGGGTTGTAAAGTTGTAAGTTGTACGTTATTAATGATGAGTGACGAATGATAAATAATGAATTTATCGAAACGCTTGTAAACAACTATGCTGGAAATAACCCTTCTTATTAGGTACTTGCATTTGAAATTTGAAGTCGATATTAGTATTTCTCTCGGTAGATGATAGGGAGGAAGGCAGAGAGCGATGTATTCAACTAATTCGTCTCCCTCCAATTTGATTCATTTTCCCATGACAGATCACTCTACGCCATCTTCCAACTCTCAAATTCGAAATTCCATATATCATATGCCATCTCCTACGTCTTCCACATCTCTCCTAAGACGATGTGAAAAGAAAAAATCAGGTAGGAAACTAACTAACTAGTGAAAGAATGAACGGATAAAATGAAATGCAGTGGTAAAAAAGATAATTGCAAGGGAAAACGGATATCTGCAAAGAAAAATAGAATAGAAAAGAGTAGGATAGAAAAATGCAAAAATGATATGGGATCTCAGCCCAGTATGATACTTCTAGAATTGAGGAGAGGAATTGGAGATATGAAGATGTGGATGATGAGAGATCTCGTCTTGTTGGTGGATCTGATGTGGATCTGATGTGGTTGTGTATTCGTGTGTTTAGAATTTAACTTAAGCATGTGATTGAGATTAAGATTGAGTAGAAATGGAAAGTATTATGTGATGCAAGATGCAAGATGGCGCAGGTCGTGAGAGGGATTGACTTTTTGTAAAGATGTCGCAACTCATAAAATAATAGCATTGTCGACAGAGTTTCCCGAGGTGGAAAACGTGGGTCTTGCATGCGAGATGCGGTTTGCGATAGGAGTTCTGGGAGTTCTGGGAGGAGAAGTTGGACTTGGGAGATGTTAGGTTGGGGGTTTGTGATGGGGAAGTTGGAGAAGGGAGGGAGATGAGAATGAAAGGACTTACTTTTCCATTTCCTCATCCTCAGTATTCGGATCACTACTATTCGTCTCCGTGCCTGAATCCGATATAACGATTACATTTTCCTTCTGCATATCCCTCCCATTTTGCGGTCTAGGAAGCTGCGCAAGATGTGCGTGACGATGAGTAGGAACAGGAGCTGACACAGAATCTCTCATCAACTCATCGAACGCCTCATCATCATCCACCTCACTATCACTATCATATTCGAATTCCTCTTTTTTCTTTCTCTCCTCGATCACTCGTGTTCTCTCCACCATCATCATTCTCTCTCTTCTCCTCTCATTCTCGCGTTCTTTTTTCTCGACTTCGCTGCTTTCGTCTTCGGCTTCTTCATCTCTATCTTGGATTTCCTCACCGCAGGAATCAACTCCAGTTTCGTGGGGTATGGAACCGGATTCGGCATCTTTCCAGCTGGGCGCTTTGCGCCAAGAAGGTAGCATGCCCATTGGTCGACCTAAGGTGGGTCTTTGAAATCGGAATAGATCTCCGGGATGATTTTCTGGGAGGGGTTCATAGCGGTCGTCCCATTCGATGCCGGTTTTGGATTTAAAGATATTTTTGAAATCGAGGAAGGCGTCAGCGTAGACTTTAGCTGTGGGGAGGGATGTAGGATTAGCTTGGGGGTGTGGAAAGGAGGGAGTGGGAGAAGAAAGACTTACGACGGCAATCTTCTCGAAGATAAGAGGGACTTTGATACGCAGTTGTTAGTTTTGCTCCAGCCATGTAGGTATGCGGTTGAGCATTGGATTCGAAGAGGTAGACTGTATATTTCTGATTCTTGTTTTTGCCATGCAGAAGAACACGAGTGAGGACGACTTTGTATTCGAAATTCGTCTGATCGACATAAACATGATTGAGTCCTATTCTCATATTAGATAATTCTTCCTCAAATCTCAAACTCCAGATACCAAACTTCAAAGCAAGCAAGAATCTCGAGGCATAATAACGTAGGGATTCACTAAGGAGAAAAAAATACATACGATCATCACACAATTCCTTACTCGCTTTCACATTCTCCTCGAATCTCTGTCGATATTTAATCTTCTGATCTTCAGTATGATGTAAACGACGAATTACACGACCAAGTGTATATCCCGTAACGACAAGTTTCTTCTTCTTGTTAGTTTTTAAAGTCAGACAATCGACTAGCCAGTCAATGACAACTATATGGCATCGTTTCCCCATAGCCATTGCTTTGCGAACTATAACATACGCTCTGAGTCAGCACATCTCTCCAATAACATACAATTAAACAAGTATGAAAGGTATGAAGAATAAAACATACCCTGAGCCCCCTTCTTCTTATACTCCTTAATAGTCACAATCAAATGCGTCGTATACTCATCCACTTCCCTCGCATACTCGCCTCCGTGAATAGTAATCCATTTACTAATTTTCTCATAGTTCCATTGGGATTCGGCGTTGGGACCGGGATGCTCGGCGATGAAGTCGCCTGCGAGTGACATTTTGCAGCCGCTGAAAATGGGTTTGAGTGCACCGTTGCTGTAGGAACTTTTGTTGCGTTTGGGCTTGGGGGGTGTAGGGAGAGAGGGTTTGTGGGATTTGGCTTTAGGTTTGGAGGGGTCTTGTGTGTAGGGGCTTGATGCGTGGCATGATTGTGGTTGGTGATGAGACGTGAGACGTGAGATGGTCTAGAGGGTATTAGCGAAGTGTGATATGAGATATGGTAGCAAAGGTCCAAAGGTTGGATCAATAGCAATGGCCAACACGAAGTTTCCCATCTATGAAGTGGATGATGGGCGACGTGAGCATGCTCAGCAAGAAAGCAGACTAGACGTAGCTCAAGATCAAAGCCGGAAATACAATGTTATGTGAATATAACATAATGTCACGACCACAAAATAAACTACTCCAACATCTCAATGAAGTCTCACTCCATACATCATAGAAATCGAATATCTCGCTTAACGCAAAATGACAAAGTCTGCCCCAAAACCAAAGACGATGAACCGAAAATCTTAACGGATGAAAGACAAAAACTTGAGGCAGACACTAAGCCACGAAAGTGATTCGAAGGGTGAATCTGTTAAGAGATACCTGGATAGGAAAGACAAAACATGAAATAACAACGTACGAAGATATTGGACCTTGAAATCCGGGAATCCGTAGTTCTCGATAAAATGGTTCAGCTGACGATATATGAAGTAGAGTTGTGAGTTTGACGATTTGATATCCGAAAGAATCCAAGTTTCAGGCAAGAAATTAGAAAGGGATAAGTTGAAGTCTGGAAAGAAAGCAGAAGGAAGATTGATGTAATATAACCCAAGTAAGTGATAACGAGATCAACGCGATGAGAAAGTAATGTAAAGAATATGAGAAACAGTATGGTAGTGTGAAAAGAAGTAAGTATTCGGTTGTAACTTTGGGATTGTTGAGAAATTAATATCAAAGTGGGGCAGGACAAAAGGTATTGAATATATTTCGACACTAGAGAGGTAGTTGCGACTGTGGATGGGAAAAAATTGATTCGTCAAAACACTGGTAGGGACGAGAATATCTCTTAACGATTGAGGGGTAATAATTGAGAGGCGTAGAAAATAAAACCAGTCCATCTCTCAAGTATCAAGTATATTTGTACTAGTAGCTCGAAGTGATTAGTGGAAGTGAATTTCCATATCAGATATAACCAAATTTGAAAGTGAGAATGCTTTCGGTCGAGGCGAGGATGAAAAGGGGGCAACCGATGTTCATGCGAAATGTCACAAAAGAAGCTGATGCAAGTCCAAGTAACCAACATTTCGACCAAGAAAATACAACATAATTGAAATGATAGATCGTGTATCGCAATTTCACATTTCGAAGGACGATTCAAAGAATATTCAACTGATAAATCGACTTGTCATAAGAACGAGTCATTAATCATTATTTGCCATCAAAGTTCATTTCATGATACCCAGCCATGTCTATCTGACGCTCTTAGCTGCCTTGATGAAAGCTTTGATCTTCTCGATACTCTGAGCACCATTTTCTTCTACGCCACTACTGACATCAACACCAATTACCCGATCACCAACATCACCCGCTGATAGCACAGCCTCTGCCACGTTCTCGGGATTTAGACCACCAGCAAGAATGACTCTGAGACCCTGATCTTTGGTCAAAGTAGCTTTAACTTCTGTTATATCTAATTTTTGCCCAGAGCCACCTGATGCGGAGTCTAGTAAAGGAATGGTATGATAACCTCTTCTCCCAAGACCAACCTGACCAGGCTTGAAGCTTCGAATGACAGGAACTGGTATTATATTTGCCCATTCCAATGGTTCATCGCCGTGTAGCTGTACTATATCCAAATCATATGCCTTTTGCAACTCTAGAACCTCTTCTAGAGGTTGATTTTGGAAGACACCAACCAATAAAGGACGATGACTTGAAATATTGGAGGCTGCATTGCTGAAGAAGTCTGATGCTTGGTTGCTCACGCGATCACTAATAACTGTTCCTGTCGTTTGTTGAGCTTGATGAACAGCTTTTGAAATAGCAATTGCATCTTTGTATGGAACGTGTCGACCTCTACCGGGAACGAGAATTATCCCGATTAAATCTGCACCGGCCTTGATAGCTTCCGTTGCAGTCTCAGCATTCCTTGTCCCGCAAATTTTCACAAGTAAATTGCCACTTGCGGGTTTTACTTGAGTAGTTGAACCGCCGAGTAATTCTCGAATGAAGAGAGCGGTATCTTTGGCTCGCATAAGCGCTTCACCCACAAGGACCGCACCTACGCCATTCTTTTGATAGGCTTCTACATCCTTGGGGCCGGAGATACCACTGAGAGCACACACAATGGTTTCTTTCGGAACTTGGCTGAGAAGACGACTTGTAGTATCTAGGTCTACCTCGAAACTGGTTAGATTTCGGTTGTTTACACCAATAGCTTTTGCACCAAGGTTGACAGCTATAGTCATTTCTTCTGATGTGTTGACTTCCACCAAAGGCTCCATTCCAAGCGACACGGAATAATGATATAGGCGGGTCAAGGTTTCTTCATCTAGCATCTTGACAATGAGTAAAACCGTATCGGCACCAGCTAATCTAGCTTCTAGAATTTGATATTCTTCGAAGATAAATTCTTTTCGTAAAACAGCAGGTCGATTTGGCATGCCTTCAAGAGCCTGTCTTACAGCTCGCAAGTCATCAATGCTTCCCTTGAACCACTCTGGCTCTGTTAAAACCGAAATCACGCTTGCACCAGCCAGGGCATATGTTCTAGCTTGAGCTGGAGCGCATGTTGATAAAGAGATGACGCCTTTCGAAGGAGATGCTCGTTTAATTTCGGCCATAAGCGACAATGGATATGGAGACTTGCGAAGACGTTGGACAAATGGGACAAGAGGTGGCGCAATATCGAGTTCATAAGCGGCCTGGAGATCGGAGGGTCGTTGGGAAGGAATTTCTTTTTGTGCGGAAACTGCGGCTTTGCGATGCGCGAAGATTTTGTCCAGTATGTTCTCCTTTTTGGCACCCGTGGAACCAGATTTAGACGCTTGCGCCGTGCTGCTTGAATACTCTTTTTGCAAACGCTCATTTTCCGCCCAAGTGCCACTTTGCATCTTCAGAAAATTCTTGAGCATTACTCGACCTTCAGCAGTCAAGATACTCTCAGGATGGTATTGTACACCTTCTAGAACATATTCTTTGTGTCGAACGCCCATTATCACACCCTTTCCCCCATCAACACCGGCCTCGATCCAGGATGATACTTCGAGACATTCAGGTATAGTTGTATGTGTGCCAGCAAGCGAGTGATATCGTGTTACTGGTAAGTCTTGTGGTAGACTGGCATAAACTCCTTTTGAATCGTGTCGCAATGGAGACGTTTTTCCATGTAAGATTTCTCCGGCAAATACAACCTCTCCTCCATATACGTCCAATATGCACTGCCTAAGCACTTAGTCAGTAAAGTCCTACCCGACCAGCTTCTCAGTACTCACTGGCCCATGCAGACTCCAAACACAGGTATCTTGCCAGCGAAATATTTGATAGCATCTCTACTAACACCAGAATCGGTCTTCGGATGACCAGGACCAGGACTTATAACCAATTGAGTAGGTTTGAGCGCAATAAGTTCCTCCACGCTAAGTTCATTGTTTCGGTAAACAGTGACAGTCGCCCCTTCGAGAACGAGATATTGGTAGATGTTCCAAGAGAATGAGTCGAAGTTGTCGATCAAGATAACATTGGAAGCAGATGCTAGTGGGGGAGCTGGCTCTGGCTGATGCGGAGAATAATCGATTAACTCTGTAGAAGGCATTCTGGAACTTCTTTATCGTTTGAACAATTTATATGTTGTATAATAGAAGAAGCTATGAAAATGACAGTCTTTCTCTTTGGGTTAAAGAGAGAGGAGACGATCTTAAGTTGTGTTTCCTTTGTGATTCTAGATATCCATGAGTGAGTCAAAGATCAAAGGTCCTTCCTTTTTTTGGGTGGATGATGATTAATGAATTGAGTGATGGTGGGGAGCATAGAAATAAATAAATGAAACTGCCCAGCTGCTGAATTGCTAGGATAACAAACCCTGCAAAATAAAAAAAGCTTCACCTGAAAGAATGGTTACGGGACGGTGCGTGGGTGCTCATAATAATTTATCTAGCGAATGAAGAAGGTTGACCGCGACAAGGCGGACAAGGCGCGTCAACCAAAACTTTCTTAACGATTTATTGATTGTTGATATCGGATTTTCTCACAACAGGAAAGGATTCAACCACTGTATGAAAATTTGAGCTTTCTCATGCTTTATGCTTCGAACAATACTTCACCACAAATCTTGGCTCATTGAGCTTGGGTAGGTAGTAGATATGGTACCAATTCCAGAGGCTAGCTATTTTCCTGATCTGGGTAGATGTTTGAAGGGAGAAGAAATATTGATGTAAGTTTATTGTTCATAAGATCGATCCCAATTTACATTCTACTAATCTTTCAATAGCTCTTGGGAGACGGCATTCTTTGCCCTTTTAGATATTGAAGAAAATGGAGCCCAAATAACACTCGAGAAGTTCTTTAAAGAGCCCAAAGTACTATCTTTGCTTTCCAATCCTGTCACTGCCTTTCCAGAACCCACCAACGAGACGAAAGTCGAATTCAAATCAAAACTTTCCCCGATCAATGCCGATCATTCTTCTGCAGATTATGACGTTAGCAAGGTATCTGAGGATGCACTGTGGTTGAGTGGAATGGTCAAAATCGACGAGGTTACCGCTCTAAGACTCGTTGTGCAAGAACATCAATCGCGAGCATATGCGCAACTTTTGGGGAAACTTTCAGAAGAAGAGTTGATCAGTCTCCAAGATGCATTTGGCAACAAGAAATCTACGAATTTGCTCTCAGCTGGATCTTTCATTGGCACACAAGCGGAGGTTGCGCCATCAGAAGAAGAAAGTCGGAGAAATCGACGTACGCGAATGCTCAGCATTTACCTATCAGAACGACGCTTTTTTTGGAAATGCCTTACATTAATAATTCAGCGACCCAGACTTTCACCCACACCGATTACTCCATTAGACGACTGGTACGAGGGTCTGCATATAGAATTGCTAGGCAGCTGGAAAAGTTCGGGCGCATCTCAGAATCGTATGGTAGAACTGGTGAAATCCATTGATGCAGGACTTACAAAATTATTCGATGCGAAAAGTGAAGGTAGCGGGTGGTCCTTGGAGGGTGATGGACGAGATGAACTTGAGCTTGAGTGGGCAAGCAACCAGATCATTGAGGCAACCCACATGATGGAGACTATATTTTATTACATATTCTCTTCTGATACCGCGCTTGATATCTCTCACTCAGACCTGGTGCTCGAATGGTTTGATTTTGTTAGCAAGTTTAAGTTCCTGGACGAGATGGGAATGGTACGTTTGTGATTCATACTTTTATATGCTCATTACTGACCAAACACCGCAGCTTCACCCGACTCTTCAAGCTGTTGCTCTACCCTTACAGACTATTAGCGCCATCATAACATTTGCCATACTTAACGTCGATAGTTGTTTAATATTTCTCGAGAAACCATCGAAAGATTTAGCACCTGCTGATTTGGCTGAGGGTCCGAACAAGCCATGGTTATTAAACCAAACTGCAATTATTAAACTTCACCAAATACTCACCGAGGCAGCGTCCGCGAACTACATCACGGCTGGCCCTGCTGTCCTTACCTGGAGCGTTATTTTAAAACATATCAAAGTTCGTGTCGATCTTCGAGAGAAACTTCAGCGCCGACGACACGAGGGTCTCAGTGATAACGATGAATATAACGATGAACCATTGCCGATTGGGTCGGAGCCTATACTTGCCCCCGATGCCTATGAAGGAGTACTTACAACAATCAAAGTCACGGACGAACTTGTCGATTATCTAGCTTTGAGCGCTGTAAACGACTGTCGTGTTTTCGAAGTACTAGCAACCATTTCACAGACTCTTGGTGACACTTATGATGCAGCTTTCATGCCACAACTTGGTTCAAGCTTGAGAATCGCAATATTAGAGCTCATGAAGGCAAGTGCGCCTGATGTTGGCTACAATGCCCAAACACTGCAAACTGTGGTTTCTGTCATGGATGGGGACAACAATATTGGGATTTTGTTGATCTACGAAATGTTGAAAGCGAGTTTGAGCCAATATCCTATTTTGTCACTGACGTAGGATTGGTTCGCGAGTTTTGGCAAAATGCTAGTATGCGCTATCCTTGGGAAGCTGCCCCTTTTCAAACCCTTGTTCGCTCTTTGGCATATCTGCATGACGCCGATGGAGGAGTCCATGAGTCTATCTTTCCATTACTAGACTCTCGACCAACCTTTACATACTTATTACCATATCAATACGCCGATTATGAGACAGTTCAAGAGGAGCATAACAATAATTCTATTCAACTGACTAGGGGTCTTTCCATGTTTGAGCCTCGAGGGCGTGGTGTCAGCAGAAGACTTTTAATAGAAAACGGGAACCAGGGACAGGCTTTAGTACTGGCAGCAGCTAACGGCGATCTACAAATTCCAGCTGGAACGCCTGGTGTTGTGATAGTCGAGAATGATCCAAAAGTAGTTCATCTTACCCACCATTATCGCGGTATGAGGTATTTTGGGAAGTTGCTAGAAACATATCTAGTTGCGGGCGAAGAACATGACGCTACTACCGGCATGGGAGCGGACTCTGAGACTGTTGCTGACATCATTGGTACATTTGCGACGGGTCTTCTAGCCTTATCTAGGTCAGACAAAGAGGCAGAGCAAATTCAAAATGATGCTACCGAATTTTTCCAGGTCGCAAGTTCGGCGTTAAATCGGAACAGAGATATCACTCTCGTTATATCTGCTATCTTCGAACAAGAATTGCAAAGGCAATCGAGCGAATCTAGTTCCGACGCCTCCCTCGATATCTTAATCAGCTGCATACAATATCTACATGCCTTACTTTTGTTTTCGCCTGGAAGAGTCTGGCCTCTTATTGGTCGTAGTGGGCTTCTATCTGATGGCCGCGGTGGTGGCGGTAAACTCGCTAGTATCGTTGGCAGGGTCGAAGTTATATCGGGGAGGTACTCATTCCTCGTATCGTGCACTCGACTCTTTGAGGCACTGGTCAATGATTTCGCAGTAAATGCTATAGCGAGAAATCGCAAACTAACTGTGGCTCCAGCTCGATTTAGCGAGGTCGAGGAACACAACGTTCGCGTTGCTGATAAAGTTCTCTCTGAAGTTCTTCTTCACTTTACTCGATACCTGACGGAGGTACTAGAAAGCTCGTACACCTGGCAATTTGATCAACCCAGCGATCAACTCCAACTTACAAAGACCATCATGTCTTCTTTCGAAAAAATGCTTACATATTCTTTCGGAATCCAGGGTGATCCAGAAGAAATGCCACAGTCAGACTCTCGTTCAAAGTCAGATCTCGGCAGAGATTCCAAAGATCATCAAGACCCTGCTCTTCCAATCATGAGTGCTTTAGGCCCAGCTGCCATGCATATTGTTGATAGCTATCTGTCCAAGTCTTCTGGCCCCATGAGATTTGGACCAATTCTTCGCACCTTATTTTACGGCTTCAATACCCGTTCTACCACGATGTATACAAACAGATCACTATTAGTGGCGGGGGGTGTGAAAGCAGCACTCAAATTCTCTAGGCAACTTCTTCGAATAAGTGCATTGTTAGAGAAGCCATCACATCTAGAGACACAGCTATTCACTGCTGCACCACTTATCGCCCGACTATATGCCGTGAATGACAGCTATCGTACTCCCGTCATAAAATTGTTCGAGGCGATGATAGTCAGCGCTTCGAGTAGCACCTCAGAACCACCTTCCCTCCTAGGTTATCTTGGCGCGAAGACGTCGAAGAATTTCCTTAATGTCGTGTCAGATTTGGATACACCTCTAACTAGAGATGAAAATGTTGGCTCGATTTGGCATTTCCTGTCGATGATAATGAGCAGTCGACAACAATGGTTCGCAAATTATGTTCTCACAGGCAAAACGCCGAGAGACGCATTGAAAAAGAAAAACCCCGATGTTGCCAAATCTTCATCTCCAAAACCTCTTCTTCTCACAGCTCTTGACAACCTCTCACAAATTGGAGACATTCCGGATTCAGAAGCTTTAATGATGTTAGAATTCGTCTCATTGGCACAGAATTTCTGGCCTTGGACTATGCACGAGTTGGAATCTAGCACAGGCTTTATCAATTATCTCTCAAATTACATCAGCACCCTGAAACCTATTCAAGTCTCATCTAGGAGTGAGCCAGCAATTAAGGCTTGCTATCGTACTCGAATTGCGGCTTACATTGCCGAGATTCTTGCAATGCACCTCTTTCATTCTAGACAAACTGGCAAACCTTCAATTGCCAAAGACCTCATGCCCAAACTGAATTATTACTATGAAAATGCAGGAGGGCTTCCTACATACAATGCTTCTCTCCATGGCAACCTCAAGAAAAACTTCGATGCCAAGTATGCTAGAACTAGTCTCCAGAGTTTCAAGAAGACGGATCTAGAGGATCGCAAATTTGGCGAGAACTATTTTTACGATCTACAACTACTTGACCAAATGCTCCGTTCTGACGTAGCTTGGATAGGACGTAGAAATGATGGTTATAAATTCGAGCTTGCAAGTGCTAACATCAACCTGTCTTTGGTTGATGCTCAAGTGGTAAGTAAGCTATACTCAAATTCCAAGGTTAAATTTAACAATTTTAGGCTTTATTAAACGCTTGGAAAATTCTTGCCGTTGAATTAACTAGCAATATAACTAAGGAATCTGATCACCAAGAGACCCTTGTTGATGCTGCTCTTAAGTGCCTTGCCTCAAATGCACAAAGTCCGCAAACAGAAAAGATATTTTCACGATTACTTCAAACACGTGCAGACTTTGCGCTTGTTGCCTGCCAACGGTTGATAGAAGCAAATCCAAGGTGCCCTAAGATGAAGGACCTTCTCAAGATAGTATGGGAGACAGTCCGGACCTTGGACAAAAGCTTCGCGATGGCAATTGCAACAGGAGATGGTCCATATTATAGACTGCTTCTCAAAATTTTATTCTTGGCTTTGCGAGTTCATGCCGAAGATAACAACGTCGGGGATATTGACCCCAGAGTTTCTACACGGAAACAACAATTGGAATCGGAATCGGCAGCAGACATCTATATGATCGTCGATGTTATTGAACGTGTAATTGCTGGCGGCCTCAGTGATCTGGCTCATATCATTCACGACAATCATGAAGAGTCATCTCCAGAAGACATCGCCCTTATCACAGGCCTTTTGCAAGCCTGTCTCCGGATACCAGGCATCGAGTTCCATCACTCACAGATTGTGACCATCATGGCTAATTGCAAGACCCCTCGTATTGCTACCACACTCTTCTCCTGGTCTGACCAAATTGCGATAAATGGTGATCCCATCTATGGTGAACTGAGCATTATTTTCCTCTTGGAACTCTCAAGTATGCCAACCATGGCCGAACAGCTAGCCGTCGATGGCGTTCTCGGCCAGGTCAGCTCCGCAAGCATAACCACTTATTTGCGTCGTGGAAATGTATCTCCATTCGCTGACGGCGCCGGTATCCAACGCTGTTACAACATCTGGGTCCGTGGTATCCTTCCTTTAATCCTCAATCTCCTCCATTCAGTTGGTGCCTCCATCGCGACAGAAGTCGCGCTCTTCTTAAACCAATTCCCTCATCTTCTCGCTCAATCGGCAGCCGCGTTTGATGCACCAGAATCCTCACGCACCACTTCAATATCAACCCCGAAACATCTTTGTTTGTCTACAGCTTCCGAGGTTCATTCTCTAGCTCTCATTGTCTATATTTTGAATGGATTCAGAGAACAGTTACAGGGAATACAGGTGGTACCGGAAGTGGATTGGGATTTGGGCGCGGTGGCAGAGAATGTTGAGTTTTGGTTAGGGAGTCGAGCGGTCTTGAGAGAGAGGATAGTACCGATGGGTGATAAGGATTTGGAGTGGAGGGGGAAGAAAATAGATGCTGGGAAGGCAGGGGCAATGGGATGTTTGGATCGATTGGAGGAGAAGGTGGTATTTGAAATGATGGGAATCAGGGATGTGATTAGTGGGGGTGATCCATGAGTGGAATGGAGGGACAAGATGTGAATGATGTATGAGAGTGGCGTTATTTCTGTTTTTGGAGATAAACTGAATACTAGAACATGCACAATTAATTTTTTTGTATCAATAAGAAGACTGATCAGGATATGACGACTATAGATTGATAGTCTTTTGCATCGTAGAATGATCTTCGTTAAAAGTTCAGGAGGAATTTTTCGACTGATTTAAGAGGAGAATTCCGAGTTTTTATCCTTCATGTACTATCCACACATTATCTTTTTATAGACAACAAGTTTCTCATCAATTTTCATTCCCACCATCCGTAATGCAGGCATTCATATTCATGTCGATATTTTTCTTCAAAATCGACTCCATCCTCAAATATCTATCGTACAACCCCATTTTTTCACTTTCCCTCCCCACTCTCTATATCGCCAAACCAGAAGAATCGATTTACCTTGACCCAGGAGGAGGTTGACTCATCATCTGTGCTTGTTGTTCTTGGAATCTTTGACCGATACGCTCACTTCCAGCCATGAATTTTTGGACGCAGCGGGAAACGCAACCGGTTTCGCGAGCGATGAGGGATTTGGTGGAGAAGTCGTCGACGCAGGAGTCGAAGCAGTGAGTTACGAGGTTGGAGAACATCTGTGGATGGGGGTGAGGTTGTTAGTTGGGGGGTTTGGGATGGGAATGAGGGGGATGAGGGGGAGGGAGAGAGGATCTGGAACTCTCCAAATATGCTGCTGCGAAACTTATTGGCTGAGCGCTAGCCAATCGCCATTTCGACAATGCTACGAGTGTTTGCATTCCTCGTGGATAGAGTGTGAATAGTAAGAGTAGGAAAGGTATGGCTGCTATAATGTAGATTCCAAAATTCCATTGTGATTCGTATGAGTGACAAGATCTCAATGAGAGCTGTGAGGATTGATCTAGCGGGCCAGCGGATTAAAGATGCTCGATCGAAAGGTGCCAGCAGGCTTCTTTCTGAGATTGAGAGAGGATTTCCGGCTGCAGCATGTTCGATACAAGTCCAATTGGAATTCGAAGAAGTTTGTTCTACTGGGTGGGCTGCGCGGGATGATAAAGTGCGACGCGGGGTATGATGAGCAATCCTCGTATTATCTCTGCTGCGTTTCCCCCGCTCAAAATATTTGGAAGGTTTCGTATTCGACCATATGGAAGTGAAAATGCATAGAAGATCTTAACTTACGCCCATGAATTCCTTCATTTGCTTTCTTTCCATACGGCTTTGGAATTCTCTTTGCTCTGAGGGGGTGAGTCTATTTGATCATGGTTAGTAAATTGGATTGGTAGAGTTTTCGAGGAGCCGAATAGCTCTATTACTCACCCTTCCATGATGATGGTTTGAAATATATGTGAGAGAGATTGAGAAGTTTGACAGATTTATTGAGATGTTTAAATTTATTAGAAAGACTTGTCAAGGCTGATGGATGAGGCTGATAAACTCTTCTGTATATGTTCTTGGAAGCTATCCAAATTGAAAGGCTTTTAGCAAGGTAAATAGTTAGAGCTCTGTTCATTGGGTCGGTTAATGACGGAGTTCGATAACTTTTATCCGAAGTTGATTGTGGCCCCTGCACGAATTTCCTTGTTGATCCATAGTAACTTTTTGATCTGATCTCACAATTTCCTTTCTTCACTTATTGACATTCGAACACTAAAACTATATTTATTCATTCTTTTCGAAAGAGAGAATAGGTACAACAAGCAGACAAAGCATGTTACATTCATTAGTCAATTGATGAAGGAATACAAGAACTGTACTTGTGCCATGTCCTCCTCTCTTTATACATAAAATGAAGATCTTCTTGTGAGCAACTAGAAGCAGGTCACTATACCTAAACAATCACCAAGTCATTTCGCATTGCATCCTAAATTGATGCATGAGAGTACAATGCAAAAGGACCAAGCAACTGAAGCGATGGGGGAACCATGGGGGTAATGACCACAGGTACCTAGGTAGGTAGGGTTTGTTTTCATTCCATGACTTATTAAGGTACTGACTTCAATACTGCCCCGCCTGAAAGAAGAAGAGCCAGAAAGTTTATTCATAGATAGATACATACAGGAACTGATACCGGAACTGATACAGGAACTCCTATATGTTTCTTGGATTAAGGGTTCATCTATCTTTTCCAATCGTTCTGTTTTCGTTGCCCTGGATGTGAAGGGAAGTACGCAGAGGACTGGGTAGGTGATATTGATGGTGTTTTGCCAGCTCATGTATTCCCGTTCTTCATAGGTATCTGAAGAGTGTACCAGGTCAGTGATCAAATATTTCATCTAATTATAGATGCACTCACTGGCCATGACCCTCTCTCTATAAGACCTCCAGCCAAAAAAAGTCCAGATCTTTGTTCGCGCGACTAATCCTGTCTCTCAAAACAGGGTGAATAATTGGTAGATCAATCAGGACCTACTTTTCCGAAAAAAGCTGTAATTCATTAACATGATAGTATAATGAAACTTCAAAGCAACTACCTACCCACCTACCTAAGCATTCATCAAAATGGCACTGCAGTTGGAGTTGGCTTTGACTCGTGATTCTTGAACTTGGGATTCCCTCGTATAGATTATAAATTTCAAACTTTCCACAACATTGGAAACTTTATTAAACAAATAAACAAGCAATTTGAAAGTCTGACGTTGTCTTCAATATTGGACTGTCCTCTATTTGCCATGGGTCAGCAGGGCAGAGTTTGAGTGAAAGCTTGCAATACCACTACTGTACCACTATTTACACGACTAGACCATAGACCATACAATGTACTTAGATTCAAATGTACTGCACTTCTTAGCGTCACTCTCCACTCGTTAAGTTTCTACAGTCCGAACTCTTTCACTTCAAATCAACAACCACCTCTACTGTTCCTTGATATTTTCAACCATTATCAGCAACTCTACGCATTTATCGTCTCGCAACAACTTGATTGTTTTGCTAATAACCAGATCCTTCAAGTTCGTCTTTAATTCCTCTTGCTTTTGCAGAGCCCCAAATCTTACATTACAAACTACACTTGCTCGAGAGACCCGGTCGCGTCGCAAATAGAAATAAGCCCCTCCAGCAACACAATCCCCACAAACAATCACTGTACCCACATCAACAATACCTATCATTGCTGTCGCATGCACCTTCATTCTCAATTACCACCGACCAGAACCTAATCAGAAGACTTCCTCTATTCTCTTGACCCATCCGAATCAACAATATAGATATTTCCACTTCGTGCGAAAAGTGAAATCTGCTGCCTGTGTCCCCCCCAGACTTGCTGGGCCTCGAGGTCCTTTGCGACATTAATTATCGCTGGAGCTACCTTTCGTATATTGTCTGGACGATCAGCAGATCTGATCGAATAACTCCAGTATGCTGTCTGATCATCCAACTTCTTCGACTACACAACAGCCCTTTTCGAGCCCCCAGCCAGCCCCCATACAGCAAGCCGCATCACCCCCAACGAAGCAGAGTTTGAAGAGCTGGTGGAAGACATTTCGGCCTCCTGCTAGGACTCAGGAACCCAGTACTGGTAAAGACCCCCCAAAGTTTCTTTTGTTGAAGGCCCAGAAACAGAGTGAGGATCTGGGCCATTCTCTCTATGCCAATTTTGTTTCCAATCTGCCGAGAAATTTGGATCCTCTGTTCAAGGAGAATCCAATGGACAACAATGCATCGATAGTAGACGGTATTCCAGAGTTTGCGACAGATATAATACCAGAAGCAGACGAATTAGCGACAAAGACACAATCAAGCACAACAATTTTCACAGGACATGCAACGTCTCTTCACGAGTATAAGTCTAGGAGTCTTCTCTGGCCGTCATCTTCCAGTTTAGTGTCTGGAAAACATATTTTGACGGACAATTCTCAGCTCAATTCCAACTATGAAACCAGACACCCCCAGTCAACAAGTGGTATAAAACGAAGAAAGAGAAGTTCTTTCAGCAAAAAACTGTCCAAGGACATAGCAGCTAAGCAGCGTTCCAAAATCCGTGTTCAAAACAATCATAGCCATTATATAAAGCAGCAAAGCACCAACTCTCTAAGCAGAAGTCAACAATTGCTAAACTTCTGTCGTTGTCATCACATAAAATTCAGCTTGTTAAAATTGGTAACAATGATAAAATCAAAACTGACAAAAGAAACTCCAGAATCCCAACCAACAGGTATATTTGGTGTACCTTTGCGACAGAGTATCGCATATGCAAATGTCGCTATCTCTCTCGTCGATGCCCAAGGACAAAGCTACATATATGGTTATGTACCAATAGTGGTTGCAAAGTGTGGAGTTTATTTGAAAGAGAAAGGTATGTTTCTTGAATGGATGTGTTATTTTGATGTCTGGCTGACAACTATCCGAACAGCAACCAATGTTGAGGGAATCTTCCGGCTCAGTGGCTCGGAAAAGCGCATTAAAGAATTAAAAACAATTTTTGATTCTCCTGATCGTTATGGAAAGGGCCTTGATTGGGCTGGGTACACAGTTCATGATGCGGCAAACGTGTTACGAAGATATCTTAATTTACTACCAGAACCAATTGTTCCACTTGACTTATATGCGCGATTTAGAGAGCCTTTAAGAGGTCATACTATGGCGGCAGTTGGCGATAGTGATGGTAGCCCCCAATTTTCTGACAATTTCGATGTCAATAAGGCCATCATTACTTATCAGCAACTGATCACCGAATTACCCCCATTGAATCGTCAGTTATTATTATACATTCTCGATCTTCTAGCAGTTTTTGCCTCAAAATCGGATGAAAATAGAATGACAGCAGTCAACCTCGCAGCCATCTTCCAGCCCGGTATGCTTTCACACCCGGAACATGACATGGCACCTGCAGAATATCGTCTTAGTCAAGACGTACTAATTTTCTTGATTGAGAATCAAGATCATTTCTTAATTGGGATGAGAGGTACAGCAGCGGATGAGCAGACTTTGAATGAGGTTGAGCACGGCACCCCTCCTCCAGGAACTCCCACTACACCTGGTAGATCGAAGACCGCAATTGGACGATCCGCCTCAAATGCTAGCGCTGGAGCCGATAGTGTGCGCAAGTTCGGTGGCATTCGACGTAATGTGTCTGTCTCGTCCCGTCATTCGCGACAGTCAAATGGTGCGCCTAGCCCGGCAAGTCCAGCTTATGGTATTGCACTTACTTCTTCATCCAGCGGTGGTGTTCATAGAAGCAACACTGTACCTTCAAAGAAATCTCCTGGATTGCCATCATCTCGAATGAACAAAAATACTGGCCCACCTTCACCATCTCCAGTTGGCCTAATCGCCAATCGTTCTAACGGACCTCGAGGTCTTTCACCTGCGCTTCCTCCATCTCCTGGTCATCTATCGCCGTCTCCAGCTTTAGCACTCAATACGACTACCGAACCAAGTCTCGCCGATTCCGGCCATACTGTGACCAGCCAGGAGCGCCTGATTCCTGAATCAAATGAGCGCTCTCCTGAGGTCTCTACTCCTTCTAGAATTGTCTCCAACCTGTTTCAGCGATCACCTACGGAAAGTACCGATAGACGACAACCTAACAAGCTAAGGAAGAAGCGTGTTCCAGGAAGCTCAAATCTTAGCGCTCAGAGCTCGACAAATTCTTTGAATGGGCGATCATCTTCAATCTCCCCGGGCCTCCATGCATCTCGCGGTAACTCGGATCATGCAGAGCATCCTCACCTGGAACATTTGTCGACATTAAACCCGATATTGTCTAATACTCAAGCCACACCTCCCGCTACAGAAACCCCGCGTGCTGAACAACCCCCTCATTTTACACCTATGCGACCAGAGGATCCTCACCACCCATCCGATAGAACCTTGCGCCCAGTCATATCACCTGTGTCTTCCTTACATTCTCACTCATCTTTCAATGATCAATCGGATCTTGATCATGGAGAAGATCCTGCTCTTGCCGAGGCAAGAGAAAGACGTTCAATGTGGCGTCTTTCGCGGCGCAGGGATGACTCAAATACACTCGGCGCTACACTAAGCCCAAACAAAAACGGGTCAGATAGTGGTGCCGGTGCGAGTTCAAGTTCCGTAGGCAGCTCAGGCAGACCTCGAAAGAGTTTTACTGGCGATACTGTACCTGTCGGCCCTGACTCGGGATTACCTCACGCACAAATCACGTCCAGCAATGACAGTGGATCTGTCGCGCCCGAGGAGAGAAGAGGACCCCTAGGGTGGATCAAAAGCAAGATGCGAGAGAAGCGGGATGAGAGTCGGGAGAAGGATGCTGAGCGAGAACGTAATAAGAGTCCGCCCGGGGACCGCCCCTCTAACATCAGTTCTTCGGCCCTAGCCCCGCGGGGCAAGAGCATAGACGTCAATAGAGGAGAAGAATCTGAGCGTCTCAACGGGAGAGAACATAATTTATCCCAATAATAATTCAGCGAGATGGCGAGATGGTTATCAGATTATTTTCAGCATTTCGAAGCACATTTCATTTACTCAGAGTCCAATCTACGACAGCTCTAATAGGCTCGCTGTCTATTGGTTATAAAGATCGGTGGCCCCGATCATGACGCGTCTTTTCCACCCGATTTCTGTTACATGCGTGCATTTGTCCCTTTTTATTTGCGCTTCCCCGGAAACCCATCTTAATTAAATTGATAGGAATTTTCCGTGAATCATGGCTGTGGTTGGAGATGTTAAATTTGAGGATTGGGGTTTATTTTGAGTGCGTTGCCTCATGGAATCAAGGATTTATCATTTGTCGTCGAAATTTTCACCCTTCCATGTTCTATAGAAGGATGGTATAAAGAAGAAAAGAGGAAGGGTATAAATGGGTGGATTGTGACAATCACGAATTCGATGATCTGATGAATTACTGGTTTTGGCAAAGGAGTTTGTTTTTTCTTGAATGCTTTTACGAAAATCAAAACGAATCAGATCTTCAATCTTCTGGGCTTCAGGGGAACAGGGCACGTCTTTATGGGGTCATTAGGATGCGACGAAAACCTGAATCCAGAAGGATAAGCTCGATACGACTCTTATGATTGGGATGGATCGGATGAAGGTTTGGCTGGGTTTGGGAAAGAATGGATAGGGTAATATGAATATAACGGGAATAGGGAAATGATGGATGGAGACTTTAAAGTTCCTACCTTTTTTGTGTGATAGTTTTGACCGTTTGATGGTGGTGAGAAGAGATAAAGAAAGTGAAGTTAAGAAGTCTAAGATGGGACGACATGTTCAATTCTTTTGTATGTATTTTGAAGTAATTGTGAATGAGTAAATGAAAGAAGGGACTTCTGATGTATATATCTATATGATAGCTTAACTTTTGAGGAGCTGAATCAGAATGAAAATGAAAATGAGATAGATAGTCTACCTATACTTGCAGACAAAATCGTCATAGGAGATACTTAGGTAGGTAGCACGCTCTCGAGGGCTAAGACTTGAACCGTGAATCAACTGGCACTCCACCGCTGTTCTAGCCCATTATCGAACGTAATTCTATTCGTAGCGAGTCTTGAAAGTCTTTTTAGGGGTCCGAATTTGAATGATTGATTGACGAATAGCTGGCTATGCTATGCTATTGCATTAGTGTTGTGGGCATGGCGGAAGCGGTGTGGATTTGTGGTGGATGGATGGAAAGTGTAAAGAAGGTGGAAGGAAGGTGGAAGGAAGGTAGTAGAAGGGAGAAGGTGGAAAGATGGAAGGGGAAGGGGGTAGGAAAGTTTGGAGAGGGGGAGATGGAACTGTGGAACTGTGGCACTATGGAACTATGGAGTAAGACATTCATTTGGGTTGAGGGTTTGGAATGAGAGTGGTAAGGTGAGAGGTGAGGTGAGGAGAAAATGGAGGAGATGGATGGATGGCTTGCGTGTAGTGATGATTGTTGTAGTGTGCACTGCCCTGTGGCGGGATGTGTGTGGTTTTTGGGGGGGTTTGTATATAGATTTTGAGTATTGAATATTGGGGAGAGACGGTTAGATTTGAGTCACTATCGTATTTGATATGTATCGTAGGTATGTAGATAATAATGACGATGATGGTTTAATGACAGGATATGTAGTGTATTATGGATTCGAAAACGGGATTTGGTCACTAGAGTGAATATGCAGATGGTTGAACTTCGTATAGCATGTATGCGTGCATGCACAACACGGACACAATTTTCTTTTCTCTTTCTTTCTCCATTTTTTTCTAGAAGGATGAGCCTGCTTCCTAGGTACGATGTAAGAAGTTCTAAACTCGGATCTGCGCCTGCGACTGCGGGCGGATACCGGGGATGGGGAGCATGGCATTGCCGGATACGAAGGGTTGGGATTGGGAAGTGTGTGTGTGGAAGGTGTGGAAGGTTTGTAGAGGGATTGGTTGAAGGATTGATTGAGTGATCGGTAAGTTTTCTGCTTCAGACTTTCTACACGAATTATGTACGTACGGAGTATGGATGGACGGAGAATCGAGATCAAGATTTGATCAGTCACTAGCTCCTTAAACATTTTGATATTATGGACCCCTATTCTTAGACAGACCTCGCGATCAAAATTCTCCTGAACTCAAGAGAAGGTTCGGAGGGTACAACGGGTATACCTCGCCACTAGTTTAAGGTCCAAGACACACTGGACTGACTGCGTTTGGTCGACGTTAACCAAGCAGGGTGAGTGCTCGGGGGCTAGGTCAAGCGAGGATCGAGAGGCGCGGCTTGGGTTCATATCGCCATTGGTTGTGTTGAGACTACTGGGGGACTGATGAACAAGTAGTGCATATCTTTTATGCAGGCTGCTATTTATGGATGGGTACGGGGCTTGGGGGTATGTCAAAATGGGTAGTTAGGAAGGTAGTGATTTGCTTCAGGTTTTTACAAAGGTGGTATGGATAATCTGATGGTGTTGGGGGATTTGATGTTTTGATGTTAGAGATTTCTATTGAGTTGATTGGTGTTGACGGATACTGTGATGGAGTTCGGCGGAATGAATAGAAGGTATGCAAATTGTAGGTAGAATCAGAAATATGAAGAGGTGAATAAAATCAAAGACACATGCCGATGATGTATACCCGTTATAAGTAGAAGTAGGGTGACGTCGCCATCAACATACGCGAATTGCTTTTGAGCGATTTTTGGAGCTTTTTGTCCTTACGTACTCCGTACGGTCTTACATATTGGTTGTTTCTCCTCTCGAGATACGGTGGAAAGTGGGTCGATTTGAGGTAATACATGAAGCCATCCGAAGACAGAAAAATGAGAGCATCGTTTGGTCGGCTGCATACGATTAGCTTGCACTGTACTGTAGATACTTCTCGAAGCATTCGGATACAAGTAGCGTCGCTCTTCGCTCCTGGTTTGCTCTTGATTGTGAGGATATTCGTATACACGGAGTAATCTTTGGTGGGGACCGAAGTATCAAGTGGAGTGAGGACTTGAAGATGGTTGGTCTTGGATGGAATGGTAGATTTTGAGGTTCTGGTCTGAATAATGCGCGATTTGACATGAAAATGCAACAATTGGGTGAGTGGAAAACTGGCATCGTCATTTTATGGCGTCGGTAAGTATGGATCCTGGTATGGCTGGATATTCGGGGGTTTCTTCACCATTTGAACCAACTAGAAAGAAAACTTGAGTCGACAGTGAAGAAGTCAATGTCAATGCATACAGTTAGTTGCATATAGCTGCATATGCCTTTCCAAGATCTCTTTAGCCTCGTATTATTTCAAGAAGATCATCGCCATCACATGTAGGTAATCAACCAGAAACGTATATTGTCTCTGATACCCCTCGTTATGTATGGACGCGAAGGATAGTTTTCCAACCCCTTTGCTTACTTGCTTCCTTTACAATTCGTATATCGAATCACTCACTCACTCACTCAATCACTCAATCACTCAATTCCTCACTCGCTAGCTACGAATAGTTTATTGACATTCATTCTTTGCTTTCTACGGACGAGCTAAAAGCATAGCATACGAACTGGCACAGTATTATATATATTGAGGATCAGTTTTCATTAAAAGAACAAGGTACGTTAAAGGGACCAGGCTTTCTTAATCCTACTCTGCTGTTGCACATCACACCTTATCATACATATCATACATATCATACATCTCGTATTCATGTGGCAATTCCGAATACTCCCAGCATCATATGAACTATGAACTCGAATTCTCCATAGCAGGAGAAACAGTTCCTTGTTCGTGAAGTGGTCGCTTTGATAAATTGTACCTCTTTTTCAGCATTTACCCTTGATACCCTGACATTACCCTATACCCTTGCGCTGTATCACTCCCAAAATAATGCTTGTTTCCTTTTTTTCCTTTCTCCATCAATCCACCCGAAGTTCTTACAGCACCTCGTTAGTATCTTAGCACCTTTTAGCACATCTAAGCACCACTCATTATCGCAAACCGCAGCACTGTTGAATCAATCTACTGGCTCGTCCCTTCCAAAACATTTCGAACCACTTCCCACTTCCCCCCCATGTGTTTCTTTCCCGGTCTTTCCTTCCTTTCTCCGCAAAAACAATCTAGTACTGAGTACATCGTACCAGACTCATGGTAATTGATAGCTAGCTACCTACCTAGCTACCTTGGTTTATACCCAGCCACAACATAAAGGGCAAGTGATGTCCTGGATGAGAAAAAAAGCTAAAACCTTTTCTGTCTCTCTTGTTTCAAACAAAACTCCCATCTTCTCTCTTCCTCTCTAATAACAAATCAATTGCTGAATTGTTCCCTCATAATAAAACTTGTCATACATTCAATTGTCTGACAATTCATCCATCGTCATCCTTCGTTTCTCGTTTCTTGATCACTCTTCGTTCGTTCTACCTTTAAGTGGCATTACAGCTCACTACTGCACCTCTTTTACAGCTGCGTTGCATTGACATTCGTTCAAACCCCTAATATAACCCTTGAAAATTGGTCTTCTATCCGGAATACCTTGAGAGTTGAGCAATCATGAGTTCAACAGCTGATGAACAAAAGATCCAAGATCTTGAGCAAAAGCTCGATTCAAGTGTCAATAGTCCTTTGATGTCAGGGACTGATTCCTACATCAACGAGAAACAAGATATCGAAGCGAATAAACCTCGAAAGTCGGAAAACATGCCTTCAATTCGACAATTCTTACTGACTCTTATGGTCTTTTCCCTCCTCACTATCACCATCGTTTCTGCCGCTACCACGAACCGAAATCCAAGAAATGTATCACCTCCTTGTATGGAAGATCAACAAGCCTTTAGAGAATTGCTGGATACTGTTGAACCTGCCATGTTACATGATGTGCTTCACCAACATATGACGGAGAAATATCAACATGGCGTTTATGAAGATGATAAGGATGCTTTGGAAGCTGTTTACAGACAGGAACCGGCAGTCGCACATGCATTGGTTGAGGCAGCAAAGGCCAATGCTATGATTGAATTGGCTAAGAGACAAGT